GCCAGCCGGCAAGCAGCTCCCCGGCGGGCAGGGGCTCCTATGCTGCCCGCATGGCCAGGCTCTGACCCGAGGGACCACAGGATGAAAACAAAGGGCTGGACCACGGCTGGTTGTGGTTGCACACCGGCAGTCCTGACCCTGCATTTCAAACACATTTTGAATCGGTGCAGTGGGCTGAATAGCTCCCCTTGCCGTGGCATGAATCCTGAGCGGCCTTGCTGGGTGGGCTCAGGATTTGCATTATAAAAGAAAGAGCAGAGGCAGCCTGGGCTGCTTTATTTTTTTCCAGGCCAGACGTGCTCAGGGCAAAAATGTTGTGGACGCTTCTCGCCTGTGTTGGGAGGAGCAGCTCAAATCCTTGGCTCCAAAGCCAGGCTACTGCCAGCTCAGACTAAGGCTTAAATTCAAGTTGATGTTTTGATGCCACAGAGTCTCTTTTAATCCTCTCTCAATCCACATGCAAGGGACAGTCACGGGAAAGCGACATTAGCTCACAGCGAAGGACGGTAAACAAGGCGATCCGAGCGGCACGGTACTGCAGGAGACGCTGAGCACAGAAGCAGTAAGGATTTTGCTGATAAATTGCTATTAACCGGGGGTGACACTGATGCGGGCTGCTGTGATGCAGTGCAGCAGAGGGGTTTGCTACCTCAGAGGAGGGTGTTGTTCAGAGGGGCAGAACTCAGATCATTCCTTTTAGCTTTTCCTCACAAGCTCCTAGAGCTTGTCTTTTCTTTTCAGGATGGATTTTTAGCAACACCAGGCTGGGCTCTGTGTCCGATCTGTGTTCCCAGCCTTGCCCTGGGGAAATCGGCCCATAGCCTGAGCTCTCTTGGCTGGCTTTGCTCCCCTCAGCAGCAAGGGACCCCCCAGGGCCTGGTTACCCTAACCCTGGTTACCCTAACCAGCCCCTCTCACAGGGGTCTCGTCCCACAACAGCTTTGAGCGTGGCCGCAGGGAAGGGCTCGCCCGGCGCCCGGGTCTGCAGTTGCTGGTGGCCAGGAGGCTGACGCTGCGGGGGGCAGCTCCGAGGCTTTGTCTCTGCCCATCAGCCAAAGCAGCACAGACATTGCTGAGCCCCTCTCGTTGCAGCCTCCCTCACCTGCGCAGAGGGGACAGGATCCCCCTCCAGCCCTGCTCGTTCTCCAGCCTTACTTTGATAGGGACTGCACGAAGCTGTAGTGCAACGCTGGGCTGGTGCTTGCATGCGGGGACGATGCCAGCCCTGACGGAGCAAACAGCAGGGTTACGAGGCTGCAGAAGTCCTGTCCACACAGCCTGCTTCTGGCAGCTGTCCTCAGCTCCCCAAAGCTTTCCTGGCAGGCAAACATACCTTTCTCAATACCAAATCCAAGGTCTTCCAGCAAGATTGGGATCAGCCAATGCCAGGAACTGCCTGTGCCTGACCTGGCAGAGGCAGGGCCCCCGGAAAGGCAGGCAGAGCCCCCCCCCAGCCTGCTCAGTTTCTTCTCTCTGCAAATCTCTTGTCACTTATTAAAGCTCAGAGCTGTGACACTGCTGCCCCAGGGCTGGGGAAGACCCCTGCGGCGCTCCTGCCCCAGCAGTGCCGTGGCAGTGCAAACAGCCAGAGCCAGTATCTCTGTAGCCTCAATGTGCATTTGCTCCTTAACCCTGATTACATAACCATCCCGGAGTTATCAGAAACTGCAGAAAGAGCTGAGTTGACATTAATTAGTAACTGAAAAGATTGGCTGGAAAGGGGATAATGGGAGCAAAATACACAGGCTTTTATTTGTCTACTGCAGTGAAAGTGCACAGGACTTGCTTCCCCTCCCTCCAAGCTGTTCACCTCTGGCCCCTGGTACCCATGCACAGAGGTGGCATCTGTCCCATCCTAGGCTGCCACCTCTTGGTACTCCCCAGTACCAGACACTGAGAAAGCAAAAATCTCTACAAAACGGTGATGTTTCAGGCAAGTGTAAGCCCAGGGCCTTTTCTTTTGCCCTTTGAGCTCTGACCATCAGCGGGATCCTTGTCTCTCCCCACTCCCCCTTAGGCTTTTCATCCTGCCTAGACCAGGCTGGGAAATAGCCTCCCACTGAGACGACCGGTTGGGAGCTTTAATACCGTGAGATTTGCTAAGAAAAAATTGTGGCAAGGCCTGAAAAGTGGTTCCTATTTCTGACCTCCTGTCTCCCCCAGCTCTTTGAATGCGTGGCCAGCCTGCGTGCTGGCCGGGAAG